CATTTGTATTGCAAAAACTTTCATGAGCCAATCACCCAAAAGGATAAACCCGAGAAGAAGACCGATAAGGAGTGGGAACTTCAAAACCGGAAGGCAGTAGCAATGATCAGAAAATACATAAACAGAAGTCTGTTCGAGCATGTGTCAACTTATAATAATGCGTATGAGTTGTGGACGAAACTTGATTCCTTGATTCAAAAGAAGACACCAAGGAACAAAGCCCACCTTGTCAGACGACTAGTGAAATTGGAGTACTCTGATGGCCAAAATATGATCGAGCATTTAAATACCTTCAAAGGTATTGTGAATCAACTAACGAAAGCCGACATGAAGATAGATGATGAGTTGCAAACTCTTCTACTCCTAAGTTCTCTACCCGAGATTTGGGACACTCTAGTCGTCACTCTCAGTAACTCTGCTCCAGATGGAAAACTTGTCATGGATTCTGTTACAGATTCCTTGCTAAGTGAAGAATCAAGACGGAGGGAAAGAGGCTTCAACAACCAGTTCGAAGCAAATATTGTTGATAATAGAGGAAGGAGTAAGAATCGTGAAAGAGGAGGTCGTGGGAGATCACAAGCTAGATCAAAGTCTCGCTCTAAACTAAGTTGTTATTATTGTGGCAAGCCAAGCCAGAGAAAGTTTGAGTGCAGATTCTTTAAGAGAGATCAGCAGGCTGGAACCATCCATCCTGATAAAATCGATCCAAAGAAGAAGGAAGATGGAACAACGACAACAGTCGTAGCAACTAACGAGAATCTCTTTCTTGTTGAAGAGGAAAACTATCTAAATGTAGCGTCTGATGATTGCATTTGGATAATTGACTCAGGAGCATCCTTTCATGTAACCCCTCATGAAGAATTCTTCTCATCATATCAAAAAGGAGATTTTGGTATGGTGAAGATGGGCAATCAAGTCACAAGCAAGATTGTTGGCATTGGTGAGGTGACTATGGTTACAGAGAATGGTTATAAGCTCGTGTTGAAGGAGGTTAGACATGTTCCAGACATGCGTCTAAACCTTATCTCGACAGGAAAGTTAGATGATATTGGGATGATAAACCAATTTGGATCCGGTAGATGGAAGTTCATTAAGGGAAGCATGATCATTTCTCGTGGTAAAAAGGAAGGCTCTCTGTATATGATGCAGGGAAAGATAAACAAGGGAGATATCAATGTATCTCAAGACATGAGCAAAGAATTGTGGCACAAACGACTTGGCCACATAAGCGAGAAAGGTTTGGATATTCTTTCTAAGAATCATCTTCCAAACATCAAGGGTCAACCACTTGAATCCTGTGAAGATTGTCTAGCAGGCAAACAAAATAGAGTATCCTTTCAAAGATCAGATGATGCAAGAAGAAGAAAGCATATCCTAGATCTTGTTCATTCAGATGTTTGCTCTACATCTGAAAGGTCCCTTGGTGGTTCACAATACTTTGTTACCTTCATTGACGATCACTCTAGAAAAGTGTGGGTGTATCCATTGAAGACAAAAGATAAAGTTCTTCAAGTTTTCAAAGAATTTCATGCCTCTGTAGAACGGGCATCCGGAAGAATTTCATTTGAGGAGTCTTAGGAGGTACCTTCTCATGTCTTATTCCATGAGATCTACAGTAGGATGCAAATGGGCCTATATACTCTCCACCATTATTTGTCCTTAAACAAGATCAAACAATGTTGCAGCCACAAAGCATACTAAGAATTATCTTGCAGATACGACACCTCAGAGTCCCAGAGCAACGAGTGCTCTGATACCACTGTTGGGAAATGCCTGCATAATTTCCCTCCTCCGTGAACTCAAAATAGGCACTTAGCAGAAACGTGAAATAAAAGCGTAATGACACAAAGAGAATTTTAGCGTGGAAAACCTTTTCAATGTGAGGAAGGGAAAAACCACGGGACCCTTGGGCCTCTTAAAACATCCACTATAATGATAATGGGAATACAACAATTTCACTCTTAGGTGGATCTCACTACAATGTATCTCTCAATTTGTAAGAAACACTCTCACAAATTGGCTCACTATTTCTCTCACAAGAAACTCTCTATGAGGATTTTCTCTCTTGAACAAGACTCTCTTTCTCTCTTGTTACTTGTTGTTCTTCTCTTGTGGTGTGTTGTGAATGCTTGCTTATGATCCTATTTATAGGAGAGGCAAGCCAAAGTTGCCTTACATGCATGAAGACACTTGTCATTTGCCTTTCATGCAAAACACCAAATGTCCCTTGCAATACATGCACCACACCATGTGTTACTCATGCACCACAACATGTGTAAATCATACACCTTGCTACTTGCCATCACATGCAACCTTCCATTTTGTCAAATGTATGGTGGCCATGTGGCAATGGCTGGACCCCACACTTCTATAATTTGAATGTAATACATGCTAATTCAACCATTGATTGTATAAAATATTTATTGGCAATATATATTATAAAGTCTTTATTTTTTTACGTGACATTTTTTGATATCATTTTTCATTAATATATATTAAATTTTGTCAAAATGATTATTAATAAAAAGTGAAGAAATTAATATAACTAAAAATAAATACTCCAAACCTTTTCATACAAAATTTATATTGTTCTTTTAAAACAAATATTGGGCCTAATATAACTATTATTTGTAAATACTATTATTAATATTTCAAAATTTCCATTTAACATTCCCAAATATTTTTGGGTCAGAATAAAATATTTTTAGAAAAGAAATATTAGGTAGTTTATTAATTTTTGGCACATTAAATGGGATATTTTAATTGTGGAAGTTAATTACACGATATTTAAAGTTATTAAATTTAAATAGAATGTCTAAATACTCTAAGAAGTTAAATGTGCATTTTTTTAAAATAAAAAATAAGTGCAGTTTTCTTGTGATAACTCTTTTTGTTATTATTAAAATAAGTTTTTAATTAAAAAATGAAATTGTTATTTTTTTATTTGGATAATGCTAACTTGTGCTCCAACAGGACAAGTTAAGAACTAAATATAAAAACATTGTTTTGAAAATTGTGTACAAATTTTAATTAAAATATAAATTTATTTTTTAAATTGTTTTTTCCAATACAAATTTACTATAAATAGGTTTCTTAGCATTACCCTTTTTATTTTTCACCATTTTATTTAATAATAATAATTTGTTTGTTTATTATATAATCTACTTTAAATTAATTGCTATTTCATTTTCTTTTTCTAACTTTAATTTTTTTATAAATTAAAAAATTATTTTCATTAATAATTTCTAAGACTTTTATTTATATATAAGTATTTTTTGCATTTTTATAATTTATTATTTTCGTATATGTATAGTCATTTTGCAAATTTATTTTATGTTATTTAAGTTTTCATGGTAATTTGGGCTTATGTTGAATTTAAGTTGCAGTAGTTTTCATGTGATATTGGTTTCAACAAAAAATAACCCAATAATATGATTATACAAACGCCCGTGACCTGTTTAAATCCAACCCGTGTAAATCGATTAAGAAAATAGACGGAAATGGATTTATATAGCTCAACTACGGGTTGAAATGGGTAAGGTTTTTGGGTCCGAAACCGTCCAATCTTACATGTTGTTCAGCCCTCCGTACAAGGATCAAATTAATTGAGAAGAGAGCGAAAAATAGGAATGCAACTAAAAATTAAAAAAAACTTCTCTTCTTTTTTAATTATGCAGAATTAGTTTGTTTCAATTTTTTTAAATGATTTTTAACCGTGTAACATATTTTTGTTTTTAAAAAATTACAAAACTTTCTTTTTATAGAAAATTTAAATAAAAATTTAATTTGTATAGTTTTTTCAAAAATATTATTTTAAGTATTTTATCTTTTTAATGAAATTTTTTTGAATATTAAAATTTAAAAAAGAAATTATTATTTTTAAAACTATTTCAAGAAAAATTCATAAAAATCATTTTTTAGATACAATTTTTTGAAGAAATAAAAAGTGATTTTAACTAAATTTTAATCTTTAATAATGTATCTTTATGTTATAGTATGACAAATAAAACTATTCTTTTAAGTTAAAAGAATGTAATTGAAAAAAAAATAGTTTTTGTTAATCTATATTAATCTCTTTTATGTTAAATTGATTATAGATTAATTATCAAATTTCATCTTTTTAAAATGAATAAATGAAATGTTGAGACTTTAAATACTGTCGAATTTTATTAGATAGTGATCAACTTATTTTGTTTAGGGTGATCAGCTTGTTATCTTGTTTAAGATATATATGATAGTTCTTAACATCGCGTATTTATCCAAAATTTAAAATAATTAGTGTATTATTTTATATATCTAACATTTTTTCAATTTCTAATTGACGTGGAACTTAACCACTTCCGCTTAAATTCAACAAAAACCAATTTCAGATACAAATGATACGATCATAATTCCCATTTCTCAACCTAGTGCATCAAATAAGACGAGAGTTAAAATTTAGCATAGGTAAATCATAATTTTCTCAAATTTTTTTACAAAAGCATAGTAGCTAGAACTCTTATTTTTCTGCTAAAAGTATACAGATCTTAAACAATGTTATACTTAAAAACCTTCTTCTTCTTCATTGAAGCAAACTAGCACCTTTGATAGATATAGTTCATAATTAGCACGTTTAACATATATGAGCACAGATAGTACCTTTGATAGATCTAGTACATAATTAGAACCTTTTAACATATATGAGCAAAGGAAGACATAGTATTATGAGGATGCAAGGAAATACATTACTAATATTTAGTCAAAGTGAAATACATTACAAAGCTTTAGTTGAAGCACAAGAAATGCTAAGGAAAGAGCAATCAAATCTACAGAGTTTGGACTCAAGCCACAAAATCAGGACAACAAAAGAAACATTATGCATAATAATAAAACAACAAACACTGACTTAATTCACTAAGGCTACATAACAATAAAACAAAGCTTACAAAGCTTCACTTGCTGCTGGCTTGAAATGCTACTAGCTGCACTGCACCTGCTCATAACCATTGCCCAACGTGAGTTTAGACTAGCACCAACTCCTTTTTTTTATAGAACTCATCGCGGAAAATGGCAGCATATAATATATCTGCATTCTCAATCATCTCATTCAAATTAAGGCGCCCATATTTGCCAACTTGTGCCTGTCATTGTAACAGTATAGAAAGGTTACTCTTGAAATTAAAGCATGACGTATACCAGAATCTAGTGATTAATACCATCTACAATACAAAAACTAGCAGATTCAAAATATAAAATGCAATGTGATAACAAAAATCATTCGTATGTTCCGATGACTGAAAAGACCTTTGTCAATAATAAGAGTGCAATTACTATAATGTTAAAATCAATACTTGGGAAACAAAGTATTCCGCCTGCTTCCTTGCATAATAACGCCAAGATGGATGGACTTTCCCAATTATAGGTAGAAGTTCAATAGCCGACAAATACCTGCACAAATGGAAATGGAAGTTGAAAACACCAATATAAATGCATACTACTATATTATAAGGAAATTATCATATTGATTTTTAAAAAGTAGAATAATTATTGGAAGAGATAAAGGTAAATACCCGTCACGATCTTTGTCAAGCTGAGAAAACATAAATTCAGAATAAGCATTATTCGAAACATAATGATGTGAATAACCGTAAGTTTCTTCATCATAGGATCTTATGGAAACAAAGAGCCCATTGACAAATTCTATATAACTGACCTTCCCATCTCTGTCGGTATCATGTTCCCTATAAAGAAATATAAGCATACATCAAGCAAGAGTACACCAAAGCAGTATTCAAATAAGCTAATTGTCTATAAACTGAAGATTTTCCATTCCTTTCAGAAAAAAATAACATTAACCAAAACAAATACTGTTCAAATTTCCGGCACCAGTCTCTAAAAATATATTCCAATATTATGGATGACATATTTACTTTGATTCTTTCAAATAGATTATGATGTATATATATATGTAACAAGAAAGATTGGAGTTACCAGACTTCCTCCCTGCACAACCATTGTTGAAGCTTTGGGTTGTTGCTGTCAGCTGGGTGAAGAAAACTACAAGACATTTAACAATATAAGTTCAAACAAAAAGGATCAATCATCATTGATTCACCACACAGGTAGATGTAGTTATAAAGAAGCTCACTCATGGAACTCAGGTAAGTTTAGACGACCGTCTCCATCTGTATCGGATGCATTAAAATGCTCTTCTTCCAGCACTCTCATATCATAACCAAAAGAATCACCATCTGATAGGTGAAAAACATATATAGCAAATAAAAGAACCTCCGAATTTCCAAAAATTATGAAATTTCTCAGCAAAAAAAAGTTAAGAATCCCTCCACTCTAACAACAAGAAATTCAAAACTCAGAACTCATCAACTTAGATTCAACCAAAGTTTATTTCCAAATGTATAAATCTCAACAAAAAAAAAAAAAAAAAAAAAAAAACTCTAAGATTCCAAAATTGATGAATCTCTCAACCCTGACGGCATGAAAAAGAAACTCAAATCTCAGATTCAACAAAAAAAATCTAAAAAGAAATAATCCCAACAGATTTAGAATATCTTGACCCTAAAATCCCTTTGACGCCGATCCATCTAAAAGCATTCTAATTTTGGAAAGAAAATCGTATGATTTCTGAAACCCGCCTTAAATCCCCATATGAGTGATAGCTGGGACGAAGTTTAGCAAAAGGCTGGGATGAAGCAGATGGTGGTGCTATGTGAAAAGCAGCTATAGATAGTTGGATTACGATGAAGACGATGAGGTTTAAGGCGTTTCCGATGAGTGGCGTGTTTGGTTGTTTGGTGGCAAATTGAACTAAACAGTGAGAAACTAAGAAGTAAGAACTCGAACTCAATTTAGATTCAACCAAAGAGATCATTAATTTCCAAAAACAAAAGAAGAAACGTAAACTAAAGAATGAAAGTAGAAAGAGAACCTGTGTATTGTGGTGGAGGGGGAAGACGGTACTCGATCTCAGCGAAGGAGACAAAACCGTCGAGATTTTTATCGTAAACGATCATCTCCCTCTTGCTGCGATGCAATTGCTTAGTTTGGAGATGATGAAGTTTCCACTGAGTAAGTTCGTGGACGGAGACATACTGATCAGTGGGGTCCACATCAATATCAGGGAACAAACGTATGATGTTTTTGGTGAGATTGAAGTCGATGTCGTCCTCCCAGTCGGAATGGAGGTCAAGGCAGTCGTGTGGATGGGCGGCGTGGTTGTTTAGGGAGGAGTGGGAGAGGACAAGGAGCAAAGCAATTGCTCCAATGATGAGAAAGACTATGAATTTTATGGCCATTGAATTCAATGTTTTCTCACAAGAGGAGAAGGTTGAATTGGTGAGAGAGAGAGGGGGGAGGGGTATTTATAGAAGCGGGTAGAGTGGACACACGTGTGTTGTTATGAAGTTTCTATTTTCAGGTAGCGCTGAGAAATTGGATTGACATTGACAGTTTCACAGTGTCAGAACCTTTTCTTTTCCCAGTTTGCAACGGCATTTACCTTTTGGACTTTTTAGTTCCAAACTCGTGCTTTTTATTCAACAATGATGTCTCCCTTTGTCATCTTTTTTTGTCTTTTCTACTTATTTCAAATGTGTTAACCATAAACTACGGATTCCTTTTTCAGTACTCTTTCTGCCTGGCTCTGGTTATATGGTCACTTTGAAGTGTTAAGAAATATATTGCAGAGAAGTTTCACTTTGATTATAAAAACGAAGAGATTGAACATTTTCATGAGAGAATTTGCATATTTATTATCTTAATATTTGTTGTTTATTTAACAAAGATTTCAACATAAAAACTGTTCATTTGTGTTGACACCAACTAGTGAACTATAACGTGTGTGTTGCTCATAAAAAAAAAAAATTAAATTTAAGTAAAAAATGTCCCATCGTGATAATCTTAAAATTGATTATACAATACTAATTTCTCAAAATAAAAACATTATCAGACTCAATGAAAAATGTTCTCTTGTGGTGACTCCCATAATGTTGCAACATTATCAACTTTTCATATTTTAGCTTCTAATCATGCTTTAACTAATTCTATAAAACGCTTCTGATTCAAAAAGTTAAGTATAAGGATAACAATGACTATGAGCAAGCTTCGTGAAACGTTTATAAAAAGACTTCAGTCAGAAGTTATTCATAGAAGATCATGTGACAACGATACACTACTTTATGTTTAATCAGTATAAAGTAAGGTTGTCAGGATCTTCTCTCTCCAACTAATCTGAATTATGTTTTGCTACTCTCAACGTCTTTATACTAGTTGAGTTTTTATCTCACTCTATTGTCCACTAGCTAAAGAACTTCAACGACTAATTGTATCATGGTAGTCTTAATCTTCAACAGATTTATTCTCAATATCTATTTAAAGAAGAAGATTGAAAACATTCACAAGTTCTTGGACCAATCTCTTTGAGATGAACCTCTACCTCTCAAGAGAATGAATGTGAATTGAAGATTTTGTGACAGTGTTCACATGGATGTGATACCAATTCACTGAAATGAGTTGAGAGAATATGTACTTTATAGAAAACACAGATGAGAGAAACACATTTCAAAATAAAAAAATAACCATAAAGGTTAAGTGTGTTAGAGTAGAGTGACACATGTTCACATATATTCTAAAGAAACAATATGTGGATATGATCAAGAACAGAAAGACACAACAAGATGAAAATTTGTGCAAGGAGAAAATAAGAATGAAAACTTCATTCTTCTACACTCAGGAGCAAACAACTCAAATTTGCTCAAGAGTGTAAATCTTTGTATATCTTCTTACCCAAGAAGAACATATATAAACACATGGTTAATATCAGATTCTTTTGTTAAGAGAATCTGAAGACTTTAGTCTCTATGTTGAGAGTAAGTCCATTCTGTATAGTTTAAACATAAAGTCCTGAACTAGATGTTTATGCATTGAAGTCTCATGCTTGCTGGCAGGGCAAGGAAGTCTCGATCATTTTGATTAGGCATTGAAGTCTCATGCTTACGGGGAGAGCATGAAGTCCTTAACTAGATGTTTGGGAATTGAAGTTTCATGCTTACAGGAAGAGCGGGAAGTCTTGAACGGTCATTTTAGGCAAGGAAGTATCACAATTTAGGGTTTGATCAGAAGTCTCATTGTAGGTGATTGAGCATGAAGTCTTGAGATATTGACTTAAGCAATTGCAATCAGTCTGATTATAATTAAAAGCTTTTGTGATACATGGCGACTTGAGTACTCTCATTTGAGATGAACTAGGATATATTGTGTGTCTTTTTATTTACTTATGCATTTATATTCTGTTGTGCAACAAACTTTAAAGTCATACTTTGATCTGATTCAGACTCTTACTTGTATCAGAATTTAAGCTTGACACCTTAGGTTGTGAAACAAGGTTAAGAAATTGAAGTAAACTTATGACTACTGATACTTACTCTGTTATCAAACTCGAAACATGGTTCATAGTCCGATGTATTAGAATTCAAAGTGAAAAGAGTTTTTGTATTTGGGCATACACAATTCAATCCTCTCCTTCTTGTGTATTTTTCTCACCTTCACTTGGTACCAAAGCTCGATTGTGCTTTTTCACTTAATAGTGAAACGGAAAAAAAAATCCAGTGAGAAAACTTACACAGTCAAGAGCTCTGGCTTGGATGAAGTAAAGATAAGCTGAAGAAGGTCATTATAGTGTTGAGCTGAATACCTAAACATAAGCAAATTATCTTGAATGAACTCCTAAATAACCAAAGAAGGAATTCTTTCAAACTTATGTGGATTAAGAAATTGTTTCTGCTTTAAGTCATTTGCTTTGTGAATATGAAAGGATTCCTTAATCCCTATGACTGGCTTGTGGCGAAATGTGCGTATTGAAGGAACTTAAGTTTAATACTAATCTGCTTAAAGCAAGATGTCCACACACATCATTGGTTGTAATGATAAGTTATGGAACACTCTTGAAGGCAACATTGTTAGAAAAAGATTTATTCATGACATATATTCCTTTGGTTTTGATATTAACAAAGTATTAAAAGAACAATGGTGTTATCTAATATGTGTTCAAGTATGCATATTCTTATACTTAAAGATATATTCAGAATCTGATATGAAGGCACACTAGAGAGAAGCTGAGTTACGTGCTTCTGATGATACAAAATCTGAAGAATATTTGTAAGTGATGTCTGGCATAGACTTTGAAGCTGAAGGCCTTAGTATCAGAAGAAAAAACATATTGTCTCTACAGTTGGTGATGGTATTGGCTTCTGGTGATCGTTCAGAAGTAGTAACAAAGCTGAAGTTATTCGTACTGCAGAAAGCGAGTTGTAATGTCAAATCAGTTAGTCAGCTAGAGTCTAAGTTCACAAGGCTCAACAAAAGTTGACATGTTTTACGGATAACCACTCTCAAAGGATCTATAGTATAATATCTCTTTGAAGACTCAATTGTTAAACATGTTACGCAATGTTTCAAGATCTTTTGGTGCATCTATCTTCAACGACTTTTATACTATGGAGAAAACGAATACATTTGATTAAGTTATCTCTATCTGAATGAATAAATAGCGAGATCAACAATACTAAATTTGCAGAATCTCCCGTTAATTATCATAAATAGTAAACAACCTTAAGGTTTCTCGAACATCGAGTATCCTAGAAATCTTAAATGCTTAAGGTCTTTGTTAAGGTGATTACCCTATACCTCTGATTCTGTATCAAGTACACATTATTCTATATTCTACTGAACATGTTATTCAATAGTTTAGATCAAAGTCTCTTGTTATATGCTTGAGCAACAAAGTCTCCAGTTGAAAAGCTTGAGCCAAGTAAGTCTCTTGATATGTGCTTGAGCATTGAAATTCTTGATCCGTTTTGATTAAGAAAAGAAGTCTTGGATAATATGTCTGAGAAATGAAGTCTTGGATTGAGAACCTGAGCAAAGAAGCCTTAGACGGTGCGTCTGAGCAGAAGTCTTGAACCAGGTGGGTTTAAGAAAGAAAAGTCTTAGGAAGAGTGTCTAAGAAAGAAAATCATGAACCATAAGGGTTTAAGCAATGGAAGTCTTAGGATTTGAGGATCTAAGTAGAGAAGTCTTGATCAGGTGGTGATTGAGCAAGGAGTATTAGACTGTAGGTCTAAGTAGGGAAAGTTTTATGCTTAAGTGCATAAGCATATGTAATTATAAGTTGATTATAGTAGAAAATATCTTGTGAGTCAAGGTGACTGGAGTACTCTCAGTTAGAGAGGAACTAGGATAAATCTGTCGTGTTAACAATTCTATTTACTTTACATCTGATATATTACTCTACTACATTTATGATCAAATTCTTAACTAATGTTTAGAATCTGAACTCCGTTAAGAAGCAAAAACATTTTAGTGAACAAAATTCAACACCCTTCTTGTGTATTTTACCACCTTCAAACATTGACTAAAACTTTAATGGTGTTGGCTTGGTAACAGATCTTAAGGAATTTTTTCTATAAGATACAACTTCAAGGTTACAACTATTCGGGAGGTTAAAATATCTGAATACTCTAGACCTTGAAAGGTTTATTTGTAACCTTCAAAGCCTTGAAATGGAACTGATGGTGATGAAACTGTGCTGAAACCCAAATCTCTTGTCTTGAGGTCTAATGGTGAAAGATCTGGTGATATAAACTTCGAGACCCTCATATGTCAAAAAACTAGAAGAAACCTCTAATGAAGAAGATTTTAATAAGGACTCTGATGATGAGAAAATGGATTTTATCATCAAGGTTTCAACACCGACCAACAAAATCAAGTTATTCTCTGGTAGAAGTTCTAAATTCAAAGGCTCTAGTTACAGAATCAATTCTCTTAATCTACAAAAGGAAATATTTTGATAGAGAAGCTGGAGTTGTTAACCCTGCACTTATGGCTGACACACTCTCTGGTTCTGAATCCTAGTAATGTTCTGACTCGGAATCTGATGAGGCTATTAAGAAACAACTTGAATTTTCTTAAAGATGAGTTGAAATCTTGTAAAAGAAATTTCTAAGATATTGGAACCTTTAATTGAGTAAATCATGGCTCTTCATGATTTCTTGAAAATAGGTCTTAACATAACTTAACTTGATTTCATGATATATGAAGTAAGCAAAAGAAATGGTATGTGTCTTCACAAAAAAAATTTGATTCCAAAAATTTTAACATGAAAGAAACCCAAAGAATCCTCTTGTTAGGTATGCTAAAAGGATTAAAGGCCTTGGTGTATATGCTGCTGAGTGTAGCAAGATTCTGAATACACCATAATCAATGACAGAGAAGTCAAAGATTTTGATTGATATTGAAC